GGAGGGTTTGGGGTGCCCAGAGCAGGGATAAAGGGGGATGGAGGGTTTGGGGTGTCCAGAGGGGAGGGAGAAAAGGGATGCAGGGTTTGGGGTACTCTAAGGGCAGGGATAAAGGGGATGGAGGGTTTGGGGTGTCCAGAGCAGGGGCTGAAGGATGGATGCAGGGTTTGGGGTACTCTAAGGGCAGGGATAAAGGGGGATGCAGGGTTTGGGGTACTCTAAGGGCAGGGATAAAGGGGATGGAGGGTTTGGGGTGCCCAGAGGGGAGGGAGAAAGGGGATGGAGGGTTTGGGGTGTTCAGAGCAGGGGCTGAAGGATGGATGCAGGGTTTGGGGTACTCGAAGGGCAGGGATAAAGGGGATGCAGGGTTTGGGGTGCCCAGAGGGGAGGGAGAAAGGGGATGGAGGGTTTGGGGTACTCTAAGGGCAGGGATAAAGGGGATGCAGGGTTTGGGGTGCCCAGAGCAGGGGCTGAAGGATGGATGCAGGGTTCGGGGTACTCTAAGGGCAGGGATAAAGGGGATGCAGGGTTTGGGGTACTCTAAGGGCAGGGATAAAGGGGATGCAGGGTTTGGGGTACTCTAAGGGCAGGGATAAAGGGGATGCAGGGTTTGGGGTACTCGAAGGGCAGGGATAAAGGGGATGCAGTTCGGGGTCTGGCAGTGCCCAGCAACACCAAGCCCCTCGGGGGTCTCAGGCCAGCAGCGGGCCCAGGGACATCCCCCTGCCCCTCGGCCGGCCCAGGGCAGGGCAGCTCCCGCCGGCCCATCCTGAGCTGCAGGGGGAAAAGCCAGCGAGGTCCAGAGCGAACCAGAGCCGGGAGGAGCCAGTGGGAACAGCAGAGCCGGGACAGAAACTCTCCAAGACAAAGTCAAAAAGGTGACGCTTCGCAAACTCAAAAGCAACAACGTTTTGCCACCAAAGAGCACAGGAGGAGCTTTGGCTCTGGGGCCAAAGGCTGGGACAGAGAAGTGGAGGGGCCGGAGCGGCGGCAGCGCCCGGGCCCCGCCCTCGCACCCGCCCGGGACGGGCTCGGGACTCAAAGAAACCTGAATTGGAGTTACCGAGGTAGTTGGCTAAAAACTGAGATTCCCCCACCCGGCATTTCTGGAAGGACCCCCTTGCCCTGCTCCTTGGTGCCAGGTGTGCCCAGGTGTGGGGGTGGCCTGCAGGTCACTGTCCCCATCCCGGGGTCTGGGGGTGGCCTGCAGGTCACTGTCCCCATCCCCAGGTCTGGGGGTGTCCTGCAGGTCATTGGGGGTGTCCTGCAGGTCACTGTCCCCATCCCCAGGTCTGGGGGTGTCCTGCAGGTCATTGGGGGTGTCCTGCAGGTCACTGTCCCCATCCCCGGGTCTGGGGGTGTCCTGCAGGTCACGGCCACCGCCTCCAGAACCAACCTCAACGAAAAGGGAATGCGCAGCCCTTGTCAGTCTTCAAAAACACCAAAGTTATTGCACTTCAAAAATACAACAGATCTGTGGTTCGAGCCCCCCACCCTCCCACCCCCCCACCCCCCCCATGGCTTCTGCTCAACTAAAACGAGTCACTACTGCACAAATCTCTACACTTCCCTTGGGATTAGGTTAAAATTCCAAACGTGTCTCTTTACATGAGGTGCAGAGCTGCTGGAGCTCCGAGCTAGAACAGTGCCACTTCCAAGCGGACATCTCACCCCGGCACCCCATGCCCCCGCTCCCACCCCTACAAACCCCCCAAATCCTCTCTGGGTTATACAACCCCCACCCAGAGCCCTCCCCGCTCCCCCCTCCCGCCTCGCCCCGGACTCACACGTCCAGCAAAACCTTTAGATTAATTAAGGAATGGTTAATTAACAAGAGGATCAAACTGCACACGGCTTTGGAGATGCAGGGGTGGGTGTCCTGGAGGTGTGCAGGGGAGCTCCCCCGATCCCGGGATCCAGGTGAGGGAGGATCCTGCCTGGCTTAAGACACTTTCTTTACTTCAGGCTCCAGTTCAGGGTCAGGCTCTGAGTGGGGTCGTTTTCCAACCAAGAAGCAGCTCAATGGTTTTTGTTTGTTTGTTTTTTTGTTT